ATTTTATTATATACGTTTAATAGTTACCTATTCTTAACAGTAAACTTTTACGAGTTTACTGTCACGAGTTTTTAAGATTTGTGAGTTTAATAACATTGGTTGGAAGCATATATTATTTATTTATCCAACCACAACAAAACTCATTCAAGTTTTTTATCCTTTGATTTTGAGTAATTTGAACTTTAAAGTTTTTTAGTAACCTCATGATAAGTTAACCGTAGTTGACGGGTACAGGAGCAATAAATCAATAATGAAAGACTTACCAAAATTGTTTGAATTACTGTGACTTAAGAAGCATCTAGGCTGTAACTTTGTAATTTTAACGGTATTTTCAGTATGTTTTATACAGATCAAGAAAGATTTTAAACTGTATTAATTTTCTATTAAAATACAACAACTTTCTAATTTCACCTCTATTTAATACACACACCTTTAAAAAAATGTCAATATTGTAATAAATGAAGAATAAAATTGTAAATCTATACCAAAGATTTAATGAAGTAATTTATAAATAAGACCAAGAAAAATCTTCTCTTTTTAACTTATAAACAAAACTAAAGAAGTAGTTTGTAACCCCAGTCCCCGAGGTGAGTTGGCTCTTGTATTAGGGATAAAGGGCATCTCCTTAAGGGACATACCTTGCAATTTGTCTTTTTTTACGTTATATGCATAGGTATATATCTTTATATTAGAAGTAATTATGTTTAGGGTATGGCCAAATATTAAACGTGAGCATGTCTCTTAGTAAGAATTCGATTATGGAAAGCTAGATTATAACCACAAAAACATAATTTTCCAGAACACATATTAACAATTTATTTTCTCCAAATAATATTGAATAGTTTCTTTCATGAACTATTGTTCTTTGCGTGGAAAATTTAAAAGTCGGGACAAATAGTAGCAAAAAAGTTGGAATCCCATTCCACACGTTGAGACTGATAATGTGGTTGTTTATTAGTCTATAATCATCTTACATCCAAACACCTATAAAATGAACACATTAATTTTCTTTGTTGTCGTTATCCTATGACTTCTATTTTCTTTTTTCTAGAGACTTTATTATATGTATATCTTTGCGTTCTTGGCGGGTATAAGAGTAGAAAGTCGATGGTGAAAGCCTTGAATAAAAGTGAATACATCGCCCTTTTTAATACGCTCAATAATAAAAGAATTTTCCGCATGCATACTCTCTCCAATCTATAATATAAGTCCCTTATAGAAGAATTGTTTGGTCCAAAAATATAAATCACTTCGAGAGTGATTAATATTTTTATATATTTTTCTCTCTTCTTCACACAATCTCATTTAACATAGGTAAAGTTGAAAAAAAAGTTTCGATTTGAAACAAATTTAATGAGTTAACTATTATTATTACTTTTATTTCAACGAAGTAGTTAAATTAACTTGTACTATGGATCGAAGAAAATACGATAACAACTTTTTCTCTAGTCTGTTTGGCCAAAAAAAAAACTTTTTCTCTAGTCTCTTTTATTAGTTATTCAAATGTGGAAAATTTGAAAGTTGGGACCAAAGTCACATATGGCTGTTAATTAGCCCCTAGTCAACTTCTTGGAAACAATATGTATATAGAATGGCTCACGACAATAATTTTCAATATTCATCATTTTCCTATCACTTTATTTTTCATTTCTTTTTCTTATAAAGAGTGCAATTCTGATACATTTTATTACTACATTGAATATTGATAATTGTGATGTGCTTATGATAATAGTGGAAATAGAATTATATGTTGGCGAGGTACTCAGATGTCATGTTGAAATTATTTATACTTTGGCGATATTCTGAACATAAAGTATTAATTAAATAATTTGAACATCCCTCAAACACATAAGTTTCCTTAAATATAGATAGGGTTTGCTTGTTACTCATACTTGAAGATTTTCAAGCGAGAAATAATTTGGACTTGATGGATGAAAATAAATTAAATTTCCTTTTCAAGATAAAAAATTTCTCTTGTTCATTAATTAGATGACTTACTTTTTTACAAAACAAGACGTATTCAATAGGCACTCTCCAACCTAATAACACGGCAAGTTAGAAAATAATAGAGAACGTCCCATCCATATCAGTTAATGAGATGATGGGCCATTACTCTAACTTGAAACAGCGCTTGGGTTATACTCCCTCCGTTCCTTATTATAAGAGACAAATAACCGAAGTACGTTGATAAAAAAAACAGTTAAAATTAGTTAAGAACAATTAATGTGTAAAAAGTATAATTTTTTTTTCAAAAATGCCCTCATTAATAAGGAGAGAGAGCATGAGAGAGAACAATTAAATTATTAAAAGAAAGAGAAGTGGGAGGGAGAGAGAGTGTGAGTTGGAGATAATAAATATAGGTAAAATAGTAAATCAACACAAAAAAGTAGAGACAACTTGTAAGTGTCTCTTATATATAAGAGCATGCTATAAGTATCAAATGTCTCTTATAATAAGAAACGGAGGGAGTAACTTTTTTACTATCTTCCACTTCTTAATATAAAATTTAGTTAATTTATTTGAAGAGATTAAAAAAAAAATACCTTAAAGTGTTTATCTTTATCTTTTTTTCTAAACTATTTTTTCACTCTTATAAATTGATATATATAATCTAATAATACATGTAAACATTTTAGAGAGATTGTGTAATATATGCTATAATTAAGTAATTGAATAACTTTCTTAATCTCTCTAAATTAATCAATTGGATCTTATATTATGGATCAGAGGGAGTATATTATATAATTTGAGCGTGCATTATCAATTGGGAGATAATTATATCATTAGAAAATGTTCTTTTTTTGGTTCTCCAGAACAAATTTTAATATATATATATAATAAAATATCTGAAATCCGACAGCAATAATTTTAATTTAAATATTCCTTGTAGCTCCACAATCTATGCCACAACTTTCTAGGGAAAATAAATTGTTGGGAGCACATATTATTTATCCAAACATAAAAATATTCATTCAAGTCGTTTTTATCCTTTTGAGTAATTTAGAACTTTAAAGTTTTTTTTTATAGCAAAATTTGAAAAACTATGGTGGTTGGATGTAACCTTATGATCTATATGTTTGTCGTAGTTGACGGACAACAACATTAAGTCAATAATGAAAGACATAAAAAAAAAAAGGGTTAAATTATGATTTAAGAATCATCTCGACTATAATTTGCGATTTTAACACGCACAAACATAATAACTCAATTACGAAAATTTTTCCACTTTATACGTATAAGTATCTTCTTACTAGAAATACTCCTATTTGAAACATGATAGATACTAAATGTGAATATCTCTCAATGTGAATTCAATTATGAAAGACTTATAACTACAAAACATAATTTTCCACAGCACATACATTAGCAATTTATTTTCTCCAAAGAACAATAGTCTCTTTCATGAACTGTGATTGTATGGAAAAATTATTAAATTAATAATAGCTAGGGACAAAAATAACAGCAAGGAAGCTGGAATCCCATTCCACACGTTGCTACTAATCATGTGGTTGTCTATTAGTCTATAATAATCAACTTATATGCAAACACCTATAGAATGACCACATTAATTAATTTTCTTTTTCATCATTGTCCTGTCAACTTTATTTTCTTTTATCTTGACTAGTCTCTAATCAACTCCATACAAACAAATATGGATAGAATGGCCCACAATAATTTTCTATCTTCAACATTAATTCCATCACTTTTGACGAAATAATTCTTTTGGTGATTTAATTAAATATTGGTTAGATTTAGCAGAAGGGGCTAATTTCTTACGATATGGCGAAGTAAGATTCTAATTTCTCTTAAGAGATGTATTCATATTTAATACCTGACAATACCTTGAAAATAATTGCTTCCGATAGGAAAATGTTTGTGCCCAGAAAAAAATGTTATGCTGAAATTGTTTATATTCTGACATTTGTAAAAATAAAAGGATTGACTACATAATTTGATCATCCTTTGTAACAAGAAAAAAATTAAACACCTTGTGTGTGTGTGTGTGTGAAGGATTTATTTGTTACTCTTACATATAGAAGGTTTACAAGAAAAAAATAACTATGTGGACTCGATGGATGAAATTAATTTTCCTTTTCAATACATACAAAATTATATAAATAAAATTTCTTATATTTTTATCCTTATTTCTCTTATTCATTACTAAATTTTTGCATTACAAGACGTATTCTATATGTAGAACCCAACTTGAACAACGAGGCAGGTTAGAAAATAACAAAGGACCCATTCATATCGCCCAATTAAATGATGGGCCATTTTTCTAACCACCAATATTCATGGAAAAAATATTCTAACCGCTAATACATAATAACGATCATGTGGCTTCAAAAACAATTATTTAGAGTTTTTCGCATTTTCTTATTTTTTTTAAAAATAAGCAAAAACTTTCTGCAAGAAAATAGTCATGGCACTATATATAAATAAGCAGCAACTTTCTGCAATAAAATTCATGTTCTTCAAGCCTCTGAGTAATTTTTATTTTAAAACTTTTTTTTTGCAAATAAAAAAAATTACATACCGTAGTTGACCAGCACAAGAGTAGACTTACCGGTCCCAAAAAAATAGGGACAACTGTGGAACCTTCTTGTTTTGTTTTCTTTGAACCTTAGAACACGCACGTTTACCTCCATACCTTTATTGTCATTGATGATTTTAATATCTTCATATAATAACAAGAGAATAAAAGAATTATTTCAGCAAGTTATTTAAATGTGTATTAAATTCTTTTTATTTTAGCACCCTTTAAAATAAAAGGGTTTAATAAAGGATATTTGAAAGTCTTTTATAGCAGATAAAAAAGTTATCCTTAAAATAAACTCCTTACATGATGAAAAATGAAGTTAAAAAGAAAAGTTTTTTGATGTATTAAAACAAAAATCGAAAGTGACATTATAAATACTAGCTACTCTCTTCTCCGAGAGTTGCATGTCCATCGAATAACAAAAAAATTGTTAGCAAAAACCTCTTTGGTTGACGTAGTCATGGATGGTTCTTGCAATATCGTCGTGGTTGTTTTTCTTTGGTTACTTACCTTATCAAATGTTGATTTATGCATTTGCAGAACATCTTATGAGGTTCAGTGCCTTCCAAGTGAGCGAGATGCCTTACTTAAGATGAAGAGTCATCTCTCAGATCCTTCAAACAGGCTAACCTCTTGGTCTCTCCATGCAAATTGCTGCAGCTGGGTTTCAGTTGTTTGCCACAACATCACAGGCCATGTTCTTGAGCTCCACCTCACGACTCCACCTCCTTTACAGTTTGGCGGCGATGATTTGTATGAGACATTAATGTTTGGTGGTGAGGTACATTCTTCCTTGCTTGACTTGAAGCATTTGAATTATTTGGATTTGAGCAGTAATTATTTTGGAGGCATGCAAATACCTGGTTTTCTTGGCTCAATGAAAAGCTTGACATATCTTAACCTATCTCATGCTGGGTTTGGTGGAAGCATTCCTCTTCAATTTTGGAATCTTTCCAATCTGATCTATCTTGACCTTGGAGGCAATTATTTGGAAGGAAGCATTCCTCATCAAATTGGAAAGCTCTCCAATTTGCAATATCTTGATCTCGGAGGTATTGAATCTAGTCTAAGCATTCCTCGTCAAATTGGAAATCTCTCCAATTTGCAATATCTTGATCTTGGAGATAATCAGTTTGGTGGAAGCACCCCCCATCAAATTGGAAACCTCTCAAATCTAATCAATCTTCATCTCGGATATGTTGAAAACCTCCAATGGGTTTCAGCTCTTTCTTCTCTTCAGCATCTTGAGCTAATTGATTTAAACCTATCCAACACCTTTGACTGGTTGCAGGATCTACATTCACTTCCTTCCCTGAGAGAGTTGCACTTGTTAGGATGTGATTTGAACCATCATTTTGAACCATCAACCTTAAACTTTTCATCTTTAGCCATCCTTCATCTTTCTGATTCTGAATTGGGCACTTCATTGATTCCAAATTGGGTATTTCAACTGAAAAGATTAGTTCATCTTCAATTAAACAGTAATGGTTTTCAAGGTCCCATCCCAGTTAGTATTCAAAACTTAACTCTCCTTCAACATCTTGATTTATCTGACAATCAGTTCAACTCTTCTCTTCCTGATTGGTTGTACAGTTTTAGTCATTTAAAGTCCCTCATTCTCTCTCAAAACCACTTGGTTGGCGCAATTTCTATGAATGTTGGAAACTTGACTTCTCTTGTTACTCTTGATTTAAATGGAAATCTTTTAGAAGGATCGATTCCAACTTCTATGGGAAATCTTTGCAACCTGAAAAAACTGGATATTTCAAACATGAAGTGCAACCAACAAATTTCTCAAATATTAAAAATTCTTTCAGAAAGATGTGTTTCTCATGCACTAGAGATTTTTTATATGAGTGATTCTCAATTATCTGGCCATCTCACTGACCAAATTGGTCTCCTTAAAAATCTTGTTCAACTTGATCTTTCTCAAAACTCCATTCAAGGTGCACTTCTTGACTCATTAGGAAACATTAAGTCTTTGATATATCTTGATCTTTGGAACAACACTTTTAAAAGTGCAATTCCTATATCATTTGGAAATCTAACATCTTTGATGTATCTTGATCTCAATGAAAATCAACTTGAAGGAAATCCTTTCAAAATCCTTGGATCACTCTGTAAATTGAATTTCCTTATTTGGGGTATAATCTTTTCCAAGGAGTTGTCAAAGAAGCCCACCTTGTTAATTTTACCCACTTGCAAGTATTATGGGTACGAAAAAACCAACTCAATTTAAAAGTGGACCCTAATTGGGATCCTCCTTTCCAACTTTTGGAGGAGTTAAATTTGGCTTCTTCGAATTTTGGTCCTCACTTTCCATCATGGATTCAATCACTAAAGCATCTTTCGTATTTGGACATCTCCGACAACAAGATTCGTGATTCAATTCCAACTTGGTTTTGGGGCACAACTGGAAATCTCGGCTATTTGAATCTCTCCCACAATCATATTGAAGGAGAGCTTTCGAATACACTGATAAACTGTTCTTTTGAAAGTTTTGTTGATCTAAGCTCAAATAAGTTACATGGCCAATTACCGTATGGATCACAAAATGTGCAATTCTTAGACCTCTCAAGCAACCAGTTTTCAGGATCCATTACTCACTTTTTGTGTCATAAACAAGAGGAGATAGGGTTACATTTTCTTAATTTGGCATCAAATAATTTATCAGGTAAAGTACCTGATTGCTGGGCGAGGTGGCCATATCTTGTGGCAATGAACTTAGGAAACAACCATTTCACTGGAATTTTACAGACATCCATGTTATCCTTGCCACTATTGAAAATGTTGAACCTTCGCAACAATAGTTTTTCTGGAAATTTACCAAGTTTTTTGAAGAATAGAAGCAGCCTGATTTCCTTGGATCTGGGAGAGAATCAATTTTCAGGAATGATTCCATCTTGGGTTGGACGAAGTTTATCAAATTTGAAGATTCTTGTTCTGAGATCAAACAAATTTTTTGGTCCAATTCCTCATCAAATTTGCCACATGAGTGTCTTACAAATCTTGGACCTCGCGCATAACGAGTTGACAGGATATATTCCAAAATGTGTCAACCATTTGAGTGCCATGTTGGTAATAAATAATAGTTTAAAGTCATACATTCTCTCACAGAAGTATATTATCTTCAATTGGTAGTTGAACCATTATTGTTGAAAGAAAGGGTTTATGATTACAGCTCCAACCTTGGTCTCATCACTAGTATCGACTTGTCAAACAATGAATTATATGGAGAGATACCAACAGAACTTACAAGACTTAAGGGACTTCATTTTTTGAACCTTTCAAATAATCATTTTGTTGGCCAAATTCCTCAAAATATTGGCAATATGAAATCACTGGAGACTATGGACTTCTCAAGAAACCATCTTACAGGTGAAATCCCGCCAAGCATGTTGAAATTGAGCTTTCTGAGCATGCTGAACTTGTCTTACAATAATTTGATGGGAAAAATTCCAACAGGGACCCAAATACAAAGCTTTGAAGCATCAAGTTTTGTTGGCAATTATGATTTATGTGGTCCTCCACTCAATAATTGTTCATCAAACAGCTCCAGCAACAAAGAAGAAGAAGTCCATCATGTGAAAGGAATCAATTGGTTCTTTGTCAACATGGCATTTGGATTTATTGTGGGGTTCTGGGCAGTGGTGGGTCCTTTGCTCTATAGTAGTTCATGGAAGTATGCTTATTTCCAATTCATTGATCGCATGTGGTATAAACTGCAATACCGTTGCTGCTGGTGAAAGCAAACTAGGCCAGATTTGCATTGGAAGGTTGGTGTTTGTAGAAGATAAGTGATTTATCTCTCTTTTAATCATATTATGCTTTCAATAATGATGTTGTAATTGATGAATAAACTCATTTACAAGGATTGTGTGGTTCAACTTTGAAGGTCATACATATGATATATTTGTTATGATGAAAGAGTTGTGCTCATAATAGATGCATTACAGATAAAACTAAGCAATACGTAATTATCTGTCTATTTCATTAATTATCTTCAAAAAAGTACCATTAAAGATATAATGTCTACACTTTAAAGACCAAACTATAATATCATGCATAAAACTCTATTTAATCTTTGCTTGTTTTGATTTCATACAAAGCTTAATCACTGATTAGCATTTGTTAAAAACTAGATTCAATGCATTGTCTTTGAGGAAGCAATACTCCATCTTCCAAAACCTGTAACCATCAATAATCAAGTTCAACCCAAATAATAAAAACAGAGAGAAAAGAAAAAAGAACTTTGTTTGTCCAAGAAATAGAATAGGAGATTTTATGATACCAAAGTCCTTTAGAAGGGCACTGTCAATAAAATGTCATTTACAACATTTTGCTTAAACAACTTTGTTATGAAGGAGCATGAATACATAAGCTTAAACAACTTATGGCAAATCAATTAAACAAATGCATCACAATCAACAAAATGATCTCACTGACTGAATAACAAGAAAGACGGGAATGGTGGAGAATCATTACAGGACCCAAAAAAATGTGGGTCAAAGGGCCAAGTATATAGATAACTCAGTAGGAATTTTTTGCATTAGCATGCATACCCACGCCTTTGCTAATTAAGAATGGAACATTATTTGCTGTCATGTATATTTCCTTGATGCTCTGTTTTATAGGATCACTTGCTATCATTTACGACTAAGTGTTTACCTAGTAAGATTGTCCTGCTAATTTCCCAGTATGATTAGGTTTCTTAAGGTTTCTATCATTCTTACTGAACATTGAGACAAATATCCTACATTTTACACACACACGCTATATAAATATCTCAATATGATTTTGAATATGTGCACGCAAGTTTAAAGCAAAACTTGCATGTCCTACCCTTGCTCATTAGCTAGAGCAGTCTTAGCACTACACAGAAAAGCAGCATCTATATTGTAGTCCTCTTTAGCAGATGTCTCGAAGTAAGGAATATTTCCTTTTGACGCACACCAATCCAATGCTTTCTTCTCAGATACCTGAGTTTGATAACCACATAAGGCTTCTTATGTGGTAGGAAGGATGATAGTTTGAAAAAAAGATCACGAGTTTAATTACTCCTCCTACAAGATTTTTCTTTTTGAAAAATATATTTGTATTAAAAAAAAGGCTATGAGAAAACTTCAAAACACATCACCGTCTGCTTACGACTCGACTATTTCCCCCATCAATATCAACCTTGTTTACAAGCAATATAAATGGAAGTAGTATCTTAGAAATTTATATTATTCGGTGATAAAAAAAATTCTATATATTATGAGCCAACAAGGATTTTTTTTTCTTGCCAATATTTAAGATGTAGCAAGAGCAATAATAATAGTTGTAAAATTCCATGTAACTACCAGAAGTGAGTTTTAATTAATTTTCTTTTATCATATCATACATTTAAGAATTAAGTCTTGCGAGCTGAGGTGATAACTCTAAATAGCTTAAGTCGTAAATTTCTTATATTATAACTTGTGGATGCATTATATTAGAGTCGAGAATTAATATAATAAAAGATCAGAAATGTGATCGTAATAATTTTAAATATTCCTTGAAGCTCCACAACCCAAGCGGCAAATTTCTAGAAGAAAATAGTTGGGACCATGTATTATTTATCCAATCATAACAGAATTCATTCAGGTTTTTGAGCGTTTGGAATTTGGAGAAATTAATTTGAATTTTTAAAGTTTTTTTCTTTCAAAATTTGAAAAATCATGATGCTTGGATGTGAACGTCTTATGAATTTTATGATTGCATCTATATCTATTTGCCATAGTTGACGGAAACAAAAGCTGATAATAAGTCAATGACGAAAGACTTAAAAAGATTAAAAGGTTGAATTATGACAGAAAAAAGGCTCTTGATCGTAACTCTGCCGATTTTAACATGCACAAAAATATGACTTAATAGAAAAAGACTTTTTTATCTCAGAAAAATTATGAAAGATTTTTTGTTAACTATAGGTGAAATTTTTCTATTGAAAGTAATTTTATTTGAGGTACGACCAGATATTAAACATTAAAACATAAGTATCTCTCAATAAGGATTCAATTATGAAAAGTTAGTTTACAACCACAAAAACATAATTTTCCAAAACACATTAAAAATTTATTTTCTCCAAATAATGAATAGTTTCTTTCATGAACTATTCTTGTGTGGAAAACTTAAAAGTTGGGTCAAAAATAATAGCAAAGTTGGAATCCCATTCCACACGTTGGGAATAATGTGGTTGTTTGTTAATCTATGATCAACTTACATACAAACACCTATGAAATGACCTCATTAATTTACTTTGTTGTGATTATCCTATCAATTCTATTTTCTTTTTTCTAGAGACTTGATATCTTTTTGGCCTTCACCTAGAGACTTGATTATATGTTTATCTTTGCGTTCTTGACGGGTGTAAGAGTACAAAGTCAATGGTGAAAGACTTGAATAACAGTTAAATACTTTGATCTTTGTAATACACACAATAATAAAAGGATTTTCCAAACGCATATTCCTTACAATCCATAATACAAGTCACTTTTAGAAGAATAGTTTGGTTTAAAATATAAGTTACCTGAAGAGTAATGAATATGTTTATTTGTCCATGTTGTCCTTACAATTAATGTTTAAATGTAACTCTTATATTTTTTCTCTCCTTCACAACGTCTTTTAATATGGATAAAGTTAAAAAAAAAATTCAATTTGAAACAAATTTAATGAATTAACTATTAAGTTTTTGGTTTAAAAATTAGTTAAAATGACTTGTATTATGAATGAAAGTGAGAGCACTTAACAACTTTTCTCCTGTCAAACAGTGAATAGTCTTTTTCACTAGCTATTCAAATGTGGAAAATTTGAAAGTTGGGACCGACGTTGTATGGCTGTTAATTAGTCATTACTCCTTAGTCAACTTCTTGGAGACAAATATGTACATAGAATGGCCCACGACAATGATTTTCAATATTCACCATTAATCCCATCATCTTCTTTTCATTTCTTTTTCTGGTAAATAGTGCAACTCTGATACATGTTATTACTACATTGAATATTGATAATGGTGATGTGTTTATGATAATAGTGCAAAATAGAATTATATGTTGGCGAGGTACTTAGATGTCATGTTGAAATTATTTATAATTTGGCGATATTCTTAACATAAAATCAATGGCTAAATAATGTGAACATCCCTTGAACAAATAACTTTTCTTAAATATACTCATTTAGTCCTATTTATAAGATATTTTCAGCATGTTTCACACAAATCAAGAAAAATCTTAAACTGTATTAACTATTTATTAAAATATAACTACTTTTTTTAAAAAAAAATATAACTACTTTTTAACTTTATCCTTATTTGATACATACACCATTTAAAAAAAAACTATTTATACTATAATAAATAAAGGACAAAATAATACATTCATGCTAAAAATCTAATAAAGTGACTTATAAATAGGATTAAGAAAAATATTCTTTCTCTACCACTAAGAAAAATATTCCCTTTCTACCTTATAAATATGATAAGAGAAGTAGATAGGATTCACTTGTTATTCATATTTGGAAGATTTTCAAGCAAGAAATAATTAGGGAGAAATTCTTACACACTCTCAGTGTACCGCGTAATCCGTGTTCTGACCAATTGTAACGCACCAACTCATGTTAAATTAATCCTATCTGGCATCCACTCATCTCATTCCAGCTTCACCTTTCCACCTTCGACTGCCTTTTGTCAACCTCGCAAAAATTAAAAAACCTCCCTCTTCTATCTCCTTCGCCCTTCATCGCCGCACATGGAGGCGGATGGATCTGGGTTGAGCCGAACATCTTCCCGCTACGGTGCTCGCCATCTTCACTAGCCCTGTTCACAAGAGGAAGAAGGAAGAAGAAGTGGGTTGCGTCTTCCCCCCTCCCTCCTCCTCCGTTTCCTCCCATAAGTCTCGCCAATCCCACTCCAACTCCACCAACAATTCTGCCTCTCGCCTCCTCCTTGCTGCTAGACCCCTTCCTCCGATGAACCTCCCAGGAGGACGTCACTTTGTATTCTCTTTTTTATTTTATTTCTCAGACAATATGGATTTCTTCTTCTTCTTTTGTTTTTTTTCCCCGTGATTTCTGGATCAACGTAAACTTTAGTGAGATTGAGGTCCTTGTCGAATGAAGATCGTGAATACTATTATGAAATTTGAAGATGAACTTATTTGTGCTTTTTTGGGCTTTCTTAATCCTGACTGAAGCTGGGGAAATTTTTTTTGGGAACTGCGAGTTTTGAACATTTCTGTGATTTCAAAGTCAATATAATTCTCTGATTTAATCTTTTCTGCTAGTATCACACTACTCGGAGCGATATTTTTCATTATTATTCTTGTGATCGAGGGCATAATCAACCAGGGAAGTAATTTTGTTTTAGACAGATCCTAGAACTGTAAAGAATTTCTCGAGAAGATGAGATCTGGTGAAAACAAACATTTTTGCTTCAAATGCTTCACAAATTGCTAGTTCGAGAATGTAACATGGATAATTTAACAGATTTCGTTCCTTTCAACATTCTAAACTTGATAGCAAACTAAATCAGAATTTACATAAGCAATATGCACACCCTGGGGATATAAACTTACATCATAGCTAGCAAACTTAACCCCATTGAAACACAACCAGTACAACAAAATACATTTAACCAAAAATATCAACAAACAAAATTCACTCGGTGTTCGTCCTACATGATGTCATCGTGAGAAAGCAATATCCAATCTTCAATTACCATCAATATCCAATCACAGCAACTTTGAAACTTCTTTTGTTTTGTGCAATTGTATTTGTTGGTCTACGGGTTTGTGAATGTGCTTCCCTGTGTTCCAATTATGAGGGATCATATCTTGATTTTTGTTGCTTTTCCAAATGGACCTTTCTGCTACCTCGCCCACTCCTTTTCGGCTCAAGAATTTAGTCTCCATCAGTTCCAACATAATTGCAAGTAAATAACAATTAAAAAGAAAATAAGTAAAAACTTCACAAACAATTTTTTTTTTTTGAAGGGGGGGGGGGAGGACCTGCTATTGCAACTCTGTAAATGTAAAAATAGCCAGAGTCATCATCATATTTGAAGGACAAATTAACTGGATGTGAATCCAACCCTCTCCTCAACCTCAAGCCACTGGTGGACATATTTCTCTTGCTCTGAGACCAACATAGTCTCTGATTAATACTGACAATATGAATGACATCAGTCTGATTAACAACATAGAAGTAGATTAAACCAAAATCCACAACTGATAACCATAGCGTCGTATTGAGACTCATGACTTCGTAGACTGAAGAAGTCAAAATCATGAACAAAAAGAAACTATGCGAGCAGTGTGATGCTAGCTGAATAGAAAAAATCAAAGAATTATGCTGACTTTGAAATTGGAAACTAGCAGTTCCGAAGAAATTTCTTCAGCTTCAGCTCGTACATAGAAATAAAAAAAAAAACACAAATCAATTCATCCTCAAGCTTCATACTATTATCCTCAATCTTCATTTGAAAAGGACCTCAATCACACTAAAGATTACCGTCCATCCAGAAACCACAAAAAAGAAAGGCTAAAAATCGAAACAGTTTGAGAAATAAAATAAATAAATAAGCGGAACTTCCGCCTGGGAGGTTCATCGGAGGCATTAGTGGAGCTATTGTCTGCGGGAGAAGCAGAGGAGGCAGGGATGGGGGTCCAGTGGCAGAGAAGGAGGTGAGAGGCAGAATCGTTGGTGGGGTTGGGGTGGGATCGGCGAGAGTTATGGGAGGAAAAGGAGAAGGAGGGAGGGGGGAAGACATAACCCACTTCTTCTTCCTTCTTCCTCTTGTGAACAGGGCTAGTGAAGACTGCGATTGCCGTGGCGGGAAGATGTTGGACTCAACCCCGAACCATCCGCCTTCATGTGCGGCGGCGAAAGGGGTAGGAGGCGGCGGAGGGAGGTTTTTTCATTTTTGCAAGGTTGACACGAGGGCAATCGGAGGTGGAAAGGTGAAGCTGGAATGAGATGAGTGGATTCCAGATAGGATTAAAATAAAGATGAGTTGGTGCATTACAATTAGTGAGAGCATGAGTTACGTGGTGCACTAAAACTATACAAGAATTTCTCTTAGTTAGGACTTGATGGATGAAATAAATTTCCTTTAATTATGTGATTGATTTTTCTACAAACCTAGACGCGATCGATACGCGCGGCTCCGAACCTAACCACACGGCAAGTTAGGAAATAACAGAGAACGTCCGATCCATATCAATTAATCAGATGATGGGCCATTATTCTTCCAAGCAGCTTGAGTTATAACTTTCTTATATTATAATGTGATGTGATGTGATTCTATTTATGTGATATTTTTAGTATATTTTATATAAGAAAAATTTTAAACTGAATTAATTTTCTTTTAAAATATAATAAAATGTTAACTTTATTTTTAGTTTATATTATATCTTTAAAAAAATAATAATCTACATTATAATAAATGAATGATAGAATATTACCTTCATATTAAAAATTTAATAAGATGATTTATACATAGGATCAAGAAAATCATTTTCTCTTCTTTATAAATAAGACTAGAAGAGTATAGCGCACTATCAATTAGGAGATAATTATATCATTAACAAATGTTCTATTTTTTTTTTCAGAACAAATTTTAATATAATAAAAGATCTCAAATCTCACGGCAATAATTTTAATTTAAATATTCCTTACAGCTCCACAATCTATTCTACAACTTTTTGAGGAAAAAAAAAATTGCTGCTCATGATTTTGACTTCTTCAGTCTACGAAGTCATGAGTCTCAATACGACGCTATGGTTATCAGTTGTGGATTTTGGTTTAATCTACTTCTATGTTGATAATGGTCAATTCCTTTTGCGCTATTATCAGTAGTCATGGATGGTTCTTGCAATATCGTCGTGGTTGTTTTTCTTTGGTTACTTACCTTATCAAATGTTGATTTATGCATTTGCAGAACATCTTATGAGGTTCAGTGCCTTCCAAGTGAGCGAGATGCCTTACTTAAGATGAAGAGTCATCTCTCAGATCCTTCAAACAGGCTAACCTCTTGGTCTCTCCATGCAAATTGCTGCAGCTGGGCTGCAGTTACTTGCCACAACATCACAGGCCATATTCTTGAGCTCCACCTCACGAATCCACCTATTTTACAGTTTGGCGGCTATGATTTGTATGAGACATTAATGTTTGGTGGTGAGGTACATTCTTCCTTGCTTGACTTGAAGCATTTGAATTATTTGGATTTGAGCAGTAATGATTTTGGAGGCATGCAAATACCTGGTTTTCTTGGCTCAATGACAAGCTTGACATATCTTAACCTATCTAATGCTGGATTTGCTGGAAGCATTCCTCTTCAGTTTTGGAATCTTTCCGATCTGATCTATCTTGACCTTGGAGGCAATGTTTTGGAAGGAAGCATTCCTCATCAAATTGGAAAACTCTCCAATTTACAATATCTTGGTCTCGGAGAAAATGAATTTAATGGAAGCATTCCTCGTCAAATTGGAAATCTCTCCAATTTGCAATATCTTGATCTTAGATATAATCAGTTTGGTGGAAGCATCCCCCATCAAATTGGAAACCTTTCAAATCTAATCAATCTTCATCTCGGACATGTTGAAAACCTCCAATGGGTTTCAGCTCTTTCTTCTCTTCAGCATCTTGAGCTGATTGATTTAAACCTATCCAACACCTTTGACTGGTTGCAGGATCTAGATTCACTTCGTTCCCTGAGAGAGTTGCACTTGTTAGGATGTGATTTGAACCATCATTTTGAACCATCAACCTTAAACTTTTCATCTTTAGCCATCCTTCATCTTTCTGATTCTGAATTGGGCACTTCATTGATTCCAAATTGGGTATTTCAACTGAAAAGATTAGTTCATCTTCAATTAAACAGTAATGGTTTTCAAGGTCCCATCCCAGTTAGTATTCAAAACTTAACTCTCCTTCAACATCTTGATTTATCTGACAATCAGTTCAACTCTTCTCTTCCTGATTGGTTGTACAGTTTTAGTCATTTAAAGTCCCTCATTCTCTCTCAAAACCACTTGGTTGGCACAATTTCTATGAATGTTGGAAACTTGACTTCTCTTGTTACTCTTGATTTATATGGAAATCTTTTAGAAGGATCGATTCCAACTTCTATGGGAAGTCTTTGCAATTTGAAAAAACTGGATATTTCAAACATGAAGTGCAACCAACAAATTTCTCAAATATTAAAAATTCTTTTAGAAAGATGTGTTTCTCATGCACTAGAGATTTTTTATATGAGTGGTTCTCAATTATCTGGCCATCTCACTGACCAAATTGGTCTTCTTAAGAATCTTGTCCAACTTGATCTTTCTTATAACTCCATTCAAGGTGCAATACCTAACTCATTGGAAAACCTTGCATCTCTAAAATATCTTGATCTATATAGCAATTCCATGAAAGGTGCACTTCCTGACTCATTAGGAAACATTAAATCTTTGATATGTCTTGATCTTTGGAACAACACTTTTGAAAGTGCAATTCCTATATCATTTGGAAATCTAACATCTTTGATGTATCTTGATCTCTATGAAAATCAACTTGAAGGAAATCCTTTCAAAATTCTAGGATCACTCTGTAAATTGAATTTCCTTAGTTTGGGACATAATCTTTTTCAAGGAGTTGTCAAAGAAGCCCACCTTGTTAATTTTACCCACTTGCAAGTATTAGGGGTACAAAAAAACCAACTCAATTTAAAGCTCGACCCTAATTGGGATCCTCCTTTCCAACTTTTGGAGCAGTTAAATTTGGCTTCTTTGAATTTTGGTCCTCACTTTCCATCATGGATTCAATCACTAAAGCATCTTCGATATTTGGACATCTCCGACAACAAGATTTGTGATTCAATTCCAACTTCATTTTGGGGCACAGCTGGAAATCTCCACTATTTGAATCTCTCCCACAATCATATTGAAGGAGAGCTTTCGAATACACTGATAAACTATTCTTTTGGAATTGTTGATCTAAGCTCAAATAAGTTATATGGCCAATTACCGTATGTATCACAAAATACGGAATACTTAGACCTCTCAAGCAACCAGTTTTCAGGATCCATTACTCACTTTTTGTGTCATAAACAAGAGGAGATGGAGTTAGGTTTTCTTAATTTGGCATCAAATAATTTATCAGGTAAAGTACCTGATTGCTGGGCGAGGTGGCCATATCTCATGGCAGTGAACTTAGGAAACAACCATTTCACTGGAATTTTACAGCCATCCATGTTATCCTTGCCACGATTGAAAATGTTGAACCTTCGTAACAATAGTTTTTCTGGAAATTTACCAAGTTTTTTGAAGAACAGAAGCAGCCTGATTTCCTTGGATCTGGGAGAGAATCAATTTTCAGGAATGATTCCATCTTGGGTTGGACGAAGTTTATCAAATTTAAAGATTTTTGTTCTCAGATCAAACAAATTTTCTGGTCCAATTCCTCATCAAATTTGCCACATGAGTGTCTTACAAATCTTGGACCTCGCGCATAACGAGTTGACAGGATATATTCCAAAATGTGTAAACCATTTGAGTGCCATGCTGGTAATAAATAATAGTTTAGAGTCATACATTTATTTTCCAGGAAGTGTTGTTCAATTGTTAGTTGAGCCATTATTACTGAAAGAAAGGGTTTATGATTACAGCTCCAACCTTGGTCTCATTACTAGCATCGACTTCTCAAATAATGAATTATCTGGAGAGATACCAACAGAACTTACAGGACTTAAGGGACTTCATTTTTTGAACCTTTCAAATAATCATTTATTGGCCAAATTCCTCAAAATATTGGCAATATGGAATCACTAGAGACTATGGATTTCTCAAGAAACCATCTTACAGGTGAAATCCCATCAAGCATGTCAAAATTGAGCTTTTTGAGCATGCTAAACTTGTCTTACAATAATTTGACAGGAAAAATTCCAACAGGGACCCAAATTCAAAGCTTTGAAGCATCAAGTTTTGTTGGCAATTACGACTTATATGGTCCTCCACTCAACAATAGTTGTTCGTCAAACAACTCTAGCAACAAAGAAGAAGTCCATCATGTGAAAGGAATCAATTGGTTCTTTGTGAGTATGGCATTTGGATTTATTGTGGGGTTCTGGGCAGTGGTGGGTCCTTTGCTCTATAGTAGTTCATGGAGGCATGCTTATTTCCAATTCATTGATCGCATGTGGTATAAACTGCAATACCGTTGCTACTGGTGAAAGCAAACTGAGGAGAAATTTGCATCTGGAAGTTTGGTGTTTTTAAAAGACAAGTGATTTATCTCTCTCGTAATCATATTATGTTTTTCAATAATGATGAAGTTGTTGATGAATAAACTCATTTACAAGGATTGTGTAGTTCAACTTTGAATGTCATATCGCTGTAATATATTTATTGTGATGAAATAGTTGTGGTCTTAATAGATGCATTACAGATAAAATTAAGCAATACATAATTATCTATCTATTTCATAAATTATCTTCAAAAAAGTACCATTAAAGACATAACATCTACACTTTAAAGACCAAATTATAATATCATGCAGAAAAGTCTATTCAAGCTTTGCTTGTTTTGATTTCATACAAAGCTTAATCACCTATTAGAATTTGTTAAAAACAAGATTCAATGCACTATCTTTGAGAAGCAATACTCCATTTGACAAAACCTGTAACTAGAAATAATCAAGTTCAACCCAAATAATAAAAACAGAGAGAAAAGAAAAAAGAACTTTGTTTGCCCAAGAAATAGAATAGGAGATTTTGTGATACCAAAGTCCTTTAGAATAGAATAGCCTAACATCAAGGGCACTGTCAATAAAAGGCCATTTACAACATTTTGCTTAAACAACTTTGTTATGAAGGAACATGAATACATAAGCTTAAACAACTCGTGACAAATCAATTGAACAAATGCATCACAATCAACAAAATAATCAAGTCAAAGGTCAAATGTGAGTTCCCAACACAAACCAATCTAACCGACTGAATAACAAGAAAGACGATAAGAGTGGAAAATCATTAGTATATGTCTGGAATATCTTGAAAGTATGTGCAATTAAGAATGGAACATTATTTGCTGTCATGTATATGTCCTTTATGCTCTGTTTTCAATGATCACTTGCTATCATTTACGACTGAGTGTTTAGCTAGTAAGATTGTTCTGCTAATTTCAAAATATGATTAGGTTGCTTAAGGTTCCATAATTCTTACTAAAGGTTGAGACAAATATCCTACATTTTACACACACACGCTATATAAATATATATATATATATATATTGGATGTAAATATCTTGATATGTATGTGCACACAAGTTCAAAGCAAAACTTACATGTTCTGCCCTTGCTCATTAGCTAGAGCAGTCTTTGCAATACACAAAAAAGCAACATCTATATTGTAGTCCTCTTTAGCAGATGTCTCGAAATAAGGAATATTTCCTTTTAACGCACACCACTCCAATGCTTTTTTCTTAGACACTTGAATTCAAGATAACCACATGAGGCTCCTCAGGTGGTAGGAAGGGCGATAGTTTGGGAAAAAGATCCCCAGTCCAATTACTCCTCTTACAAAATTTTTCTTTTTAAAAACTATTTTTATATTAAAAAAAAGGCTATAAGAAAACTTCAAAACACATCACCGTCTGCTTAGCGCTCGACTGTCTCCCACATCAATATCAACCTCATTTTCAAGCAATAGAAACAGAAATTTCCATGAAACTTTTACCTCAATAGGAGCTCATCTTCAGTCAGAAAACATAAGTCAAAGGATGAAAAGGGCTGTCAAATTTTGACATAATAATGATGACGAGTATAAATATGTAACAGAATCAAATATTGCAAAAGAAAAGAAATTTTGATCAAGTCCTGTACTCCAGCTATGCATCCTCATCAAACAAATATCAACACCATCACAATGGGTAGACTCAAATCACTTCAAATAAAAAGAAACAAGCAACCAATGCAGTGCACTCTCATAACTTCATGTGTACAGAGGATATATTTCCCATAATCAAAACATTGCTATCTTCTACTTCGGTTAAAACGATATCAAAGCACTATATATAAGATACTGACAAAAATGCCAAGTGTAGATAAAAGGGCTAAATGAAGAAAATAGGGGAAAAATTAAAATTAAAGGTAATAAAGCAACAGCAGCGTCAAAATTGCCAATTTTTGGAACCCACATAATCAAGAAAATATGATATTATGAATCAAGTTCCTCCCAAAAAAAAAAAAGGTTTAATAACAAGATGGATGACATAGTCTAAAACTAGAGGCCTCATGGTGAGTGAGGCTCCATGTGAGACATACTGGAAATGAATGATTGATCCATTCGACCCCTAGGGAGGTGTTGATTGCTGGAACTGATGTGCCACAAAGGGAGTTCTTCTTGTTTCTTCTCTAGATTCAGATTCTCACTTCTAATTAGCTTAGATTTAAGTTTATTAGACACTGTGATTCTGAATTTGTATGATCTCTCAATTAAATGTGTCATTTGAGGAGGACGATCTCCTTTATGATTGCTTGCAGTTCTGGATGCTCCTCTTGATTAAGACATACTGCTTTCTGGTTTCAAGATTAATTTGATACATTTGCATTTTAGACATAATATTGTTTTTTAGATGTGATTAAATTGTGGAAGGTTGCTAGTAGAGTAATCTCTGTCCAAATTTGCTTTCTTTTCACAACTGAAAACCAAGTGGTAATTAAAAATATACTGGTGGCTGAAGTTAATTCTGTGATATTAGGATGATTTCATGTTGCTATTATACTTGAATCAAGTGACATCTTGGATGTTTGCAATCTGACCAGCAGTTAAATAAATTCCATATCCTAGAGAAAAGTTAGGCAAGCATGAACACTATCTCTAGGAGTTGCTAATCACATATCATCTCCTATCACATTCCATTCCTCCACTTAATCACTACAATACAGAAAAACAATTAGTTCTAGACAATTAGAAATAAAGAATTTAAATCACTGTCTCTTCTCTTAATTTGTAATTAAACTTCATTAATTGGAAATTCTAAAAGCTAGAGATCAAAGAGAACTGACCTAGGGTTGACTCCACTGCACTATAGGAGTTTAATTCTAGTATTTTGATAGCTAAACAACAAGTTTATCAGTTATCAATAAAAATGACTCCATATATTGGAGACATGGTCCGTGGATTATGCTAAAAGGAATCAATTGACTCAAGTCACAATCATTTTAAAGTTCTTTCCTAATTGTTCAGTTCTTTCATGTTTACCTCTTCTTCTTCGTCTTTTTGTTTTTATTTTGGCTGTATTTCAATGGCTAACAAATAACAGGACTGGCCACTGTTAGCATGTGAACAGAAATGAGGAATCAATTTTTATCCAGTGTTGAATTTGCTACTCCTCCGGTCCTTAATATATGACCCATTTAATTAATTTGATTAAATTAAGGAAGTTAGGTAAATTAGTCAATTATAAGAAATGTGACACGTTTTTCCTAAAATACCATAATCATCTTTCTTAATACCCTCTCTTCCTCTTCTACTTGATTATGGTTGAGGGAGTATTCATAGAGGTAATGTAGAGAAAATTGATAAATATGAGAAATGGGTCTTATATTTAGGACCAAAACCAACTCAACAATTGGATCCTATAAAGGACCGGAGGAGTATAATGGTTTAGAAGTATTTATTCTAGCTTTTCTGCATTGGGCAGCATATTATGAAGTGGAAGTGGATTCTTTTCAAGGGGGATAATGAATCATTAGCAGTGTGTTCATATGTGAAGTAAACACTATTGTTTAGGTATGCCAGTTTTATACTTCACAATGGAGAACCCATAAAAGATTTAAAAGTTCTCTACAAAAGCTGCTGCCAAATCATCAGGAAGAGTAACATTTTAAACCGGATATCAGGCCCTAACATTTGAAAAATGAGTCACACTATTTATAATTTATGAATAGAATAACTTGCTGTAATTTTATTACATATATAAATAGTCAATAGAGATATTAATTTATTTCAATTGTTTATAATTATAA